TAATATCACCCGCACCAAAAGAAATTCCTTGTATTTCTCTGTACTTGGCGAATAAAAAGATTCTGATTCTGATTCGGAATATTTTCAGATACATTTTATTACCATCCCCATGGGAATACAGTAACGGTCATCTCCATTCCCGCTGTTACTGTTGGATTTTTTTTTTTTTTCCTCCATTTCCATGGATTACCATGGGTATTTGTGGTATTATTGCTTTCCCAGTTCCCCTGCAGCCCTCTAATATATTATAATTTGTTATACCCATGGCAAGAATAACAAAAACAAATGAAATGGATGACAAGAATTACAGGCCTACCACCAAAGGCTAAAACTAACAGCCTTTTTTGAGGGAGAGGAACACACACAAACTCCATTCATGCTGAAATCGACCTGAAAACCACAAAACAACCAGATGACAAGGTAGATGGTGGAGCTGATCAAAGAGGACAGAAGAGTCATACAAACCGTAAACCCACCAAAACAAAAAGACACAAATAACATCACAGAGAGCGGCTCTAAAATCTAGCAATACAAACACAAAGGGTATGGTAATCGGCAAAAAAATTGCCTCAGCATATTCAAACATCTACATGGCAAAGTGGGAATAGGAACTTTTAAAAAGATATACCCACCTTCCTTTAATATATCTCCAACATCTGGATGACATCTTTGGTGTCTGGCGTCATGGGGGCAAGCTCTTCATACAATTCATACAACCTGCAGAAGGTTTCTCTGGCTCGTTAGCAGGATCCCATTGCATCTTCAGCCTGGCCCCTTTTAGTCACATACTCTTCTTCAGACTCCTGATGAGCCAAATGAAATTCCCATTATTTGGGAAAAAAAGGGAGAACAGTTATATAATTTCAGACAAACTAACAAACAAATAAATAAAACGACCATGTTTAAAATCCAACTTCCCACGCAATGCAAAAGGTTATGTTAACCACCAGAGATCATGTCCCATATACCATGCATAAAACAAAGAATAACAACATCTAAACAAATCCCCCTCCCACAAGTAGTTTGGCCCGTCTGCTCCAGGCAGTATTTAGGCCACCCAAATAGGTCCCTTGCGTCCCTAGGATCCTGACCCCACCCAGGAAACAGCAGAATGTATTGAAAAATTGCTGAAACTGCAATGAAAAAATGAATGCGCCTCGTGTCATATTTATTCTAATTATTTATAAGCTATTAGTCAAATTAGCTATTTGACTGACTGCTAGCAAATTGTGTATTTTTGTAGTATGAAAATATAGGCTGGAGAAACCAAAACACACAAACTACTGGAGGACTATTGCAGGGACAGAACTGGGAGGTAAGATTAACCTGGCAGTGTGATTTTGTTATGGTGATGTTATGTATTGTTGACCTGTTGTGTCACAGCACAGCCATCTTGATTACTCAAGGTGGGCAATCATGAAAGATAATCAGCCAATTTTTGTCCTACATTATGCTGGATGTGGAAGTGGAACAGTTGCAATGCAAAAGACCATCTCATGACCCCATCCGCCTAGATCATAGAAGTTAAGTTCTCCCCAAGCGAGCTCGATGGGCCGAATGGCCTCCTCTCGTTTGTATAGTTCTTATGTTCTTATGTTCTAAACATTGTGATCTTTCATGGTGTGAATCCAGGTGAGTGCTTTGTGGTCAATTTCTAAAATAAATTTTCTACATAGCAGATAGTAACAGTCACAGTCACAGTAATCTGTATTGATAAATACCCTGATAACAATAATAGTTTTTAAAAATTTTATCCCAGGCTGAATTTCTTGGCAAAAGCGCCTTAAATGCCACAGGGAGACTGACTTGCAGAGGGGGTGTTTGCCTTGCTCTGGTCATACAAACACTTGGATGATGTCATCTCAACTGAGTGAGCATATTGGATGTGTTTCCAGCAACATATCTGACATTGGTATCACAGAGCCGACAGACAGTCTTGGTCTTCTGAAGTATTCTCTCTCTAGTGCTGGTGTAATTTATTGAGAAACCAAAATGCTCCCAAATTGCTGATTATGACTGACTGTAACCTGCAATAGCTGTAACCAACTCACAGCCACAATTAGCATAATGTTTTCAGTGTTAAACGTCAAAGTCAAAGTCAAAGTCAAAGTCAGCTTTATTGTCAATTCCTTCTCATGCACTGGACATGCAAAGGAATCGAAATTGCGTTTCTCACTGTCCCATGCGCAGACAAGACAAAAGACATGACAGGATAGGACAAACAGTGAAGTGCTCAAGCACAACAACAAAAAACACATCCTAAGTACTGAGTAACAGTATATAAAGTGTATAAAGTATAAAGTGCAGGCAGCTTAAGGCATATACTTTTGGTACTGAGAGAGATATATAAAGTGTTTGCTTATGAATTTAGTCTGCTTATGAATTTAGGTTCTGCTCATGTCAAGAAATGTATTTCATTTGTTTCATAGTGCATTCCGGACCAAAAAATTTGTGATTGAATGGTACATGACAAATATGTGTACCGACACAGCCCTAACTGGGAAGTTGGGGTCAACAGATGTGTCTGAAATTGCACACTTGTTTGCTTCATAGTAGGCGAAATATAATGGAAAGTGAGCAGTATGTCCGGATCCTCAGTTTGGATGGAACAGTAGGCAAACAGTATTCATATTAAGGATGCCCTGCAAGGATATACAGTTTGTTGTTGTCAAAATAAAATTAACTAAAAAACGGTCAGTTTCATTTTATGTAGGAAAATTAATTATTAATCGACCAATCTGTGAAATAGTTGATAGATTAATCAATAGAAAAATAGTCATCAGTGGCAACCCTAATCCATATGGCATATTACTTTCTGCAAAAGTCCAAAGTGTGCAACCAATGGATGCTATGCTATATCCCACAAGGCCATTTGAGTGGTAAAGAGCATCACTCAGAGATATTTGTAAAGACGGCGGCAGAAGTACAATCACTGTACAAACTTAAGTGGAAAGCACTACCCAGTCACATAAGTTGACTGAAATATGTATTTTTCATTGATATGTTTTAGCAGTAACTAAGCTACGTCATTGGTAATTATCTGGGTCAAGCATTATGCAAGGTGGTGACCACAATATGTCCGAGGGCATGCAGACTGTATCGGATCCACCCGATCCTGTGTGAACCAGAACCACACCTTTCCTCTTCCCAACCCTCCCCCCACTAACAAGTTCAACAGCAGTGAGTTACCATGAAATTCAGCAAAACATTCTAGTTGTAATCTGCTTGTTTTGATTTCTTGCCATTTCAAAGAAGGATCCACTTTTTTAAAAAGATAATTTTCGGAAATGATGTTTACTACAAAGTCTACATTTGTAAACTTTATTTACATATAGTAAAGAATTCAACCAAATACAGTTATGTGCAAAATAATAGCAGTCTAACATTACTAATGTGTTTAAGTACTGATTTTGGCAGAAATGATGATACAACATGGGAACAAATTCATGACTAGGTGTAGCAGAGTAATGGCCAACCAACAGACTTAACAGACATGACATGCATGCTGCTAATTGAGGGTAATTGACTCATTTAATGAAAGGGGTGTGTTCAAATTAATAGCAGTGTTGAGATCAGTTAGGGAGGTCATTCAATCTGTGAAGAAATAGGTGTCAATTATGGCCCTTATTTAAGGAAGGAAGGCAGCAGATGTTGTACCTGCTGGTTTTAGCTCTTGCTCTGAGTAAAATGGGTCGTTCCAGACATTGCACTGAGGGAGAAAGAACTTTGATCAAAAAGTTGATTGGAGAGGGGAAAACATACAAAGAACTGCAGAAAATAATTGGCTGCTCAGCTAAAAAGATCTCAAATGCTTTGAAATGGGAAAGAAAACCCGAAACACGTGGTAGAAAAAGGAATACTACCATCCGCCTAGATCATAGAATAACAAGAATGGCAAAGAAGCATCCAATGATCAGCTCCAGAGAGATCAAAGAAGATCTCCATTTACCTGTAAGTACTTCAACAATCAGAAGACGCCTATGTGAAGCCAAACTATTTGCAAGAAACCCTCGTAAAGTACCACTGCTGAAAAAAGACATGTATTGAAAAGGTTAGTTTGCCAAAGAACACATTGACTGGCCTAAAGAGAAATGGCGCAATATTCTATGGACAGATGAGACCAAGATTGTTCTTATTGGGTCAAAAGGCCGCAGACAGTTTGTGAGACGACCCCCAAACACTGAATACGAGCCACAGTACACTGTGAAGACCGTAAAACATGGAGGTGCAAGCTAAATCTTCATTTCATTTTCAGTTTATACTGTAAATATTCCAGTTTGTAAATGAAAATGCAGACACTGCTATTTTTTTAACAACCTAATATTCTTTTTCTTCATTTTCAGTAAAAAACAAAAGAAAAGAAAAAATTGTTCATGTTTTAATTTGGAATTGAATGTGCACGGCTCCCAGTGCCTTTGTATATATGGAAATAAATGCTATTAGGAACATGGAACTTTTCCTCTGTTGTTTTAAACACACTGCTATTATTTTGCACATAACTGTAACTGCAGAGTTTGGGTCATACATCGGGCTATAATTTCACCGGTGGTTTTTAATATGGCCGTTTGAGTTTGTCACCCCACAGATTGACCGGCTCAGCACGGAGCGATGTTAAGTTTGAACCGACAGGGGGAGCTCTTACTGAATTACTGCTGACTGGTTGCTTGTTGTGAAACGTAAAGGTTATTACAGCATATAGTACATGGACCATACTATATTATAAGCTACACTATATGTATAATATATGTTTTCTATTGTAGTATTGCCCTACATTGAAATTCTAAATAAAATACAAGAACATAAGGAGACACGATAAATAAAAAAAATAATCATTAAATAAAGTAAATAACAAGCAAGCCTAATCGCTAGGGCTTAATGTCAAAATACTATATTGTTACTCTCAAAAACATCTAATTAATGAACGTCTCCTGGCATAATGATATCAACAAAGTGTAAAATGAGTCTTCGCTTACATTCGTAATATCTTCTTTTTCCTTTATTATCATGTGATTCAAGAGACTGGTTCGTAAGAGCGGAGCATGCCTAATTCTGTTGTTATTAAACTCCACTAAGCATTTAACTAATGTAGTAGTTTCCGGGTTCCGCGAACACGTCTGTGGGTACGGATCGCGCTGTTTCGCTTTGCTGAAATGTAAGATCAATAAGTAAACGGGGATCAGTTAAATAAGACGATCGTGACGGCCAGATGGACGCGTTTTGCTTTCTATTTGAGATCTGCATTTCCGTTTTGGAGCTGCCGGTCAGAGTGCCCTGCATCACCCTATAATAAAGCGTCGGTAATTGCGCTTGTGCATTGCTGATTATTACCGAGCTGCCAGTGATGATACAGGTGCCAGCTCATAAGAGAAACTATGCCGGTGCGTAACGGATACAACCTTGTGGATGACATAGGGGACTCGCAAATACCTATTCAAAATGAAGAGGCTTTCCAGCATGGCATTCACTTTCAAGCCAAGGTGAGCTTCCCATATGTTATCTTGTATTGGTGCCGTTTCATGAAATGTATTATTTAACGAAACCTGTCACATCCAACATGAACAGTATAGACTGATCTGCAGTAACTGTAAAAAGCATTGATCAGTTTCGATTGTTTTTTTTAAAATGCTGGTTGCACTAGGATTCAATAGACGAAAGCATCGGTTTTAATACTCCTTGCAGACTAAACGGATATGCATATACACGGCATTCAGTATGAGTATAGTTATTTGGTGAGTTTGATTTAAGGTTAAATGTATTGTTAAAGAGACTAAATATATCGCATATCGCGATGACGGCAGAAACATTGACGTGTAAATATAAAATACTGGCATAGGCCTATTAATGAGTGTATCTAATTCATGTAAGTTAAACCCTGCGGTCAACACCACACCCTTATGCGTACTTTGAATTTAGTTTTCCTTTGCTTGGGAAGTGATTATGGATTTATTTTTTACATTGTCGAATTTGCAAAGAGGAGTAATATAGTCGCCTAATAGAAAAAAAGTGTAAAATATTGCACAACAATTTGTCGGGATACTTACCGTGAAGTTAACAGAAAAAACTGGTGAATAGTTTAAGATTTTTTAATTTTGGGCAGTAGAGTAATGAAAGGAAATAGGCCTACATCTAAAACCAGATTCAGTCTTTGCAGTGGCCATTATTATATTATTATAACATTCAGAACAAAGTAACGTTAATTTCACAGTCAACCCAATGGTTCACCAAGAATTTTGGAAATACAAATGAATAAACACCTGGTTGTTTATTCTCCCATGCGTTTAAGCGGAGAAAGCGCGCAGCTGCCTGTTTAATTTGTCTGAGGTTTGAGGCTGGATACGCATTTTGGACACGGGTGTGCCGCATGTATGTAAGTAACCCTACGGCGCATATATTGCCATTTATGGAGAGTGGCTTGATAGATAAATGTCATTTGAATGATTATTTAACTTTAAGTCACTCATTTTATGGAGGTTAAAATTAAGGCCCATCGGAGCCGGGATTCGAACCAGCAGCTAACTGAATATATAGACACCAAGTCTTTCCCACTGAGCTACACTTTCCGAGCAGCTCCAAGTACTGTATCTTTGTAACAATACAGTATCCGCGGCTGTGTGTATGATGTGTATGGTGGCCGAAACCGCGGATAAATCGAACCATCCGCGGACCTTATGTATAACGTGATTTTTGTGTACATGTATATAGATATGATAAAGTTTAATTGGTAAATTACGCACAGCAAGACGTTGTCAACATCAAATACAGTATTAATAAAGTACGTATACATTAAACATTATTATAGGCCTACAGTCCCGTTCAGCACTGTATTCTCTTTTTAGCCTGATTCTCAAGAAGGCTGGGGATTTGACCACGTTACTGCCTGTACTCGCGTGGTGTAAACTTATGAACCGTTTATTTATGGAATTTACCCATTTATTTTGGATAACTGATACCACAATCACGAAAACCGCAGCTACTGGGTTCCAGTCTACTTATAATCAAAGCAAAACTGTATTTTTCTTTAGAAAAAGCCATAAAAGTAGGCGTAGATTAAAAAAAACCTCTTAAAAATACAGTTTCGCACCCATTATGGTTCCATGCATTGTGACTGTGATAGCTCAGAGGATCCCCGGACATGATATCTTTGTTGAGTACAAGAGCAACTGACCAGATGTAGCAGCATTTTTTTAAAATATTTACAGAAATATTTCTGGTTCTTGTTGGCTGGAGAACCCTGAGCCCTGAGTATTTGGTGTTATAAAATGTGTCTGAGGTCGGGGTGCACACTGCACTGGATTGTGTGCTTGCTGTGTGCAGCCCTATGTGTCTGAGGTCGGGGTGCACACCGCACTGGATTGTGTGCTTGCTGTGTGCAGCCCTCTCCCTCTTTTGCTCTGCAGTACGTGGGCAGCCTGAACATGCCGAGGCCCAGCAGCCGCGTGGAGATCCTGGCGGCCATGCGGAGGATCAGGGTAAGCGCAGCCCCCACCCCCCGCACAGCCCCTCGCTACAGGTGTACCAAGAACCTTTTCATCCACTCTCAGTGCTATTTTACTGTTACATTGCGATGTCCTGGAAGTTAAGTAAATTGCATAATATCATGCCAGTATCGGTTCTGAATAACCAAGGAAGATAACCCACATTTATCTAAAATATTGCTTGCAGCTTGTTTTACTGCCTGGGATAGGGTCCTAGCTCACCACGACCCCATACTGGAGTGTTTTGAAGATGGATGCATTGATTACGTGAACATAGTGGTGTGTCTACAATGTTTGATTATTTTGACCAAATTCAAAAATAGAGAATGCATATTTAAGCCATGTGATTATTAGAAAGGAAGATAAATAGATTTAATCTCACCAATGCTGCTCTGCTTTAATAAAGTATCGTGTTATTCGTAAGATACCATGGTAAAGGACATTAGTTTATTTTCTGCAGCATCTGTTTGAATTTTCTTGTTTCTTGCTTATTACACACTGACCCTCTAAGTTAGTCTGCCATCTAGTGGAAAGTATGAGAGAAAAGCATAAGATCATGGTGCCTCAGGTTGCAGGTGGGCAATCTTATCCAAGAAGGGCCGTTGTGCATGCGGGTTGTATTATGGTATTATGGAAATGTGCTCAGCAAATGAAATACAGCTGCAGAGATTTCTTAAAACCCTTTACAGGATTTTCTATGTGTCCCATGACTCCCGTGAGCTGAAGATCTTCAGCTACATTGCCCGGGATGGATCCAGCAGCTCCTTCCGATGCAACGTGTTCAAAACAAAGAAGAAGGTAAGGGCTTGCACACTTGCTGTGACAGCTAGAGACAATCTTCTTTAGCCTGAAGCTCACAGGTGAGGATGATATGTGTGTGTGCTTGTGCCACCCCTAGGCCCAGGCAGTGTGCATCGTGCGGACGCTGGGCCAAGCCTTCGAGGTGTGTCACCAGCTGAGTCTGCAGCGAACCCAGCAGCAGGGCGAGAACCAGGCTGACAGGGAGAGCGAGGAGGCGTCGACAGAGGGTGAGGGTTAGGGTGCTTTCTGCACTTTTCCTCCATCCTGCTGTAAGAACACCCCAGTGCCTATTAAAAAGGCATGCAGCAAGGAACAATCCTAGGAACTGATAATCAAAGTGATATGATACAGAGTAAGTTCTTATGGACTCTTTTGAAATTAGTTCCTTTATTCATTGTTTTCTCTTTAATGGCAGTAAAATATTATACTGTTTCTTTGGGAAAATCTGTCAAGTTAAATATAGGAAATTCTTACAGAGATATCACTCTGGGTCAAAGGTCATCAGTGGACTAGAGGGGAAAATGATGAAAAAAACGGAACAGAGAAGAAGCTTCTTAAAGTGGTGATTGGAGAGGATCCTGGGATCCTGGAGGCTGAGTCCAGCTATGTCCTTAAAGGCTGGGATTTACAGGTGAGGCCTCTTCTACCAATGGTAATATAAAATACAAAATAGATCTAGTGTTAGCTCTGAGATCCAGTTCCAATTAGATGATTCACAACAGGGAACAATAAGCACCAAAAAGTAATCTAGGGATCATCGTCAACGCACAAGCCTAGTGCAAAGCCAATCCGGAGCAAAATTAATACCAAATACAAATCAAGTGCAACAAGTAAAATTCAGGAAAAACAAGTCAACAGAACACTTGATACCTCACAAAGAGGCTTTGTCAGAATTAGTCCCAAGACCTGCCTTTGTTAATTATTAAATGTGCAAGATGTGTATTTATCATTCCGGAGAGACGGGTGTGGTCTGGCTGCGCGTGGGTGCTGGGACAGCTGACTGGAGAAGGGTGTTACAGGTAACAAGCCAGGAATACCTGAATCCCATTAAATACAATCTGACAATAGCATTTTAATCTAAGGAACATTAGGGATACTTATGATGCTGCTCTGCACCTTTTTCATGCCTTTTTATTCCAGTGGTGCTCCTGCAGAATCACATGTATATTATCTCGTAACAAAAGCACCTGGACCTAACATTGACTGCCCTAATGTTGTGAGGTTCTTCTGAAATTCCCTCACAATAAAGCTGGTATATATGGGAAGTCCTCAGGGTTGATGGTGAGTGACCTGGAGAGCCCTGTGAAAATGGCCCATGTGTCAGTTTACATTTGCTTAAAGTAGCCGTGAAACTTCCAGGCATTGTGTGTTTTGATGGATCCCTCAGCCCCCTGTGGAGATGCCCACCCTCTGAACCTGGCACCAGTTTGGACAGTGATCAGCCTTCCTTCACTCTCGTAAAGTAAATTGAATTGCATAATACATTTGGACCACTCGTCTGGCAGTCGGGGCAGTATTAGTCCAACAGTTGAGTGCAGATTCAGTTTGAACTCCCTGTATTCAGCCAGCATCTCTGACCTTTTACGGCGGGACACTTTGCCCCTCGTTTTTTGATACCTGTTATGAAGTCTAAAACCATCTGTCACTTTTCCCTTCCTTCTTTTGTGCCCAATAGCAGATTATCTGTATAATGCTGGCTCAGTGGTGCCACAGTAGGATTAGGTACAATGTTACAGCGCCATCTGCTGGCTCATTACAGCAAGCACCGTTCCTAAACTGCAGTCAATCTTGCATCCTTACTAATGGTACAATTTTCACAAGAGTATATTGTTGTTGTAATGGGTCACAACTGGCCTGGAACCATCTCCTGGATAAGTGGTTATGACTCCATGATCCTGTACTGACGTGCAGTAAGAAAGACGGATGAATATTGCTGTGCTACTGGCATCCCGTGCAGGATTTCCTCTGTCATACATCCATTCTGAATTTATGTGATGCAATATCCATCCAACCAGCCATCTTCCATAACCCTTTATCAAGTACATTGGCACAGGGAGCCAATCCAAAGAAGCATTTCGCAATGAATATCACAGGTCACGCACATAATGTACTAAGAGCAATTCTGAGACACTAGTTTGCCTATATGTCATACAGAGATGCACATAGTTCCTAACCAGCAGTTACCACCTTGACCAGCAGAGGGTGCATGTGCACATTTTCAGCATGATAGACTGTGGGGTGGAAACAGAAAGAGGGATTCTTACTACAAAAACAGCCTCACAGATGGAGCTAGGGCCCTGGAGGCACGAAGTGACAGGAAAAACTCTTCTAACACTGACCATTATTTACCTACTACGGGAGTTTTGCACCTGAGACTGCTGGGGAAAATGCATGCTGTCAGACATGCCATTCTGTGAAACTGACCCATATTTTCTCACAACTACAGATTAATTAAACTATACCTGACCTTTGTTCCAGGTCTGAGCCCTGCCCAGTTCTGCAGCATATTTCAGGCACACAGCCCTGGTTAGCTTAGCAGACTGCAGTGTCTTGGCATGGAGCAGAGAGATACCCACCACTACGAAAAATGCTGATGCTGCCTGGGTACCCCGCTGCCCCCACTCATTAACCCTTTACTGCTTTCAGCCCATCCATCATTTCTCTGTCTCCCTGCTGAGGAGACCTGAAAAATGCCAGAGTAGCAGAAAGCAAAAAGATAGGCAGTTTGCCCCCTTCTTATTGGTGCACTATTGCAGAAGCAGCAAGGCCTTGTGAGTTTGCCAGTGAGGTGACCATGACCCCTTGTGACCCCAGCCATTGTGCTGATCAGGCTGGGGGAGACAGATGGAAGTCAGTGCACTGGTAGCCCATGGTCTGTCACCGTACCAAAAATATAATGGGTGTGTCAGAGGATAATGCTTAAGTCATGTCTGTAAGCAGTGGAGAGGGTGAGGATGTCCCAGGGTGGACTGGAGTTCGGGGTAAAGCCTGCCTTTCAACTGTAAGCCAGTCATTGCTAATTAATAGTTGTTGGTTACTGGTTAATGACCATTGGCCTGTGATGATTTAGGATGACGAAATGATATAAAACAGGTTCTCGTCATTTGAAGAAGTCGCTGCGGAAAATCTGCACGTCAATCTGCAAGGGATTGCTGGGATTGCTGCGAGAGAGTGGTGTTGAGCTGCAGCGATTGTTTGGGATTGTTTTTTNATCTCACCAATGCTGCTCTGCTTTAATAAAGTATCGTGTTATTCGTAAGATACCATGGTAAAGGACATTAGTTTATTTTCTGCAGCATCTGTTTGCCATTCCAGGCACGGTGGCCTCCTCTGTACCCAGAAGGAGCCCCACTGATTTTAATGAGATTGAATCTTGCACATGAAGGAGTGGTTTTAGCAGAGTCTATGCTCTGCTATTATGCCTAGCTGGAAAATCGGGGGGAAGTACAAACTAGGAATTCACACATGCCCACGCACATACACACACACAGTCTCTCATCAAGACCCAGCACATCTTCTGAAGTGTTTCCAGTAAAGTGTCCCTAGATGGGAAATGCTACATGCAGGATGCAACACAAACAATATCCTTCTCTAGTGAGAACAGCCCCCTAACTGAGATCAGTGTTCCCCCTGTAGATTTCTGACACAACACATTAAAGCATTAAGACCTTTTAGAGGCAGCTGGCTTTATGTTCTGTTTGTTCCCAGTGTGCATTGCTAGTGCTGTGTGCTGACATTTAAACACAACGAGATGCCGCCTTCATCTTGCAGCCCAAGCAGTGTATGTCCTCTATGCCACGTCTCTACTGTACAATCCAACAGATCCTAAAAAAGATGTATTCTGCAGTTATAGTTTTATTTTTGTTATTATTTATCATAGCTCAGTAAATGTTTTCCATTCCTTGGTGTCAGTATTTTTCCTCTGCAGTTATACATGTGATGAAAGTGCATGAAAGTAGTTCCTGTGTTTGTGCGAGAACGTGTGAAGGAAGCAGCATGTCTGCAGTTTGCCCTTGGTAAGGGACGCGAGATCAGCTGCAGCACAGTTTAGGGGTCTTTCAGACTGAGATTTACAGAGCCCCCGTCCGCCAAGCCGCAGCCCCGCCCCCAGCTGTACCAGCGCCAACACAATTTGAATCTGAGCCCCATGCAGCTTCTTTTTGTCCGCCCTCCTCAGCCAGTGACCGCTGTGCCAATGGCTGTTGCCTAGTCCTCATGCACTGCCTCTGAAATAATCCACGGCCATATTCACAGGCTCCAGTTCTCCACACCGGGATGATGTCTGCCGAGAGATTTTTCCCTGTGTTATTCTTGCAGATCAGTTTCTGCTCAGATGACCACAACATCGCTCACGGTACTTAGCATACTTGTGCTCGAGCTATTACAATTGTTTTTACCTTTTTTTGCGTGGTTGTTGGAGATTTCTGGAAATAGCAACACACACCTCACTTGCTTGTTCTCTGGGAGTCCTGAGGCAGATGATGACCAGAAACACTTACCCTCCTGATTCTTCAGCATTTTACCAGGTGCTAAAGACATCATCCCCAGCTTCTGGTGTTGAAATGATGTGTCAGGACATCCAATCCAATAGGTCCAGTAAGACCATGAATTAATACTGTGGTGTCTTAAGAAAATGTGCTGACATACCTAAAAGGCATAATTATTTATTTAACAGAAATAATATGCATCCATCTTCCAGTTGCCAATCCAGGACAAGGTCACAGGGAGGCTATTACAGGCAATATGCCCTGGAGAACATAACAGTCCATCAAACACAAACTATGGGTAATCTAGAGATAGCGCTTCACCTAGCTGTATGTTTTTGGGGGAAGCCATGTACAAGACAGAGAACAAAAAGGGTGGGATTCAAACCCTCAGCTCGGGAGGTGTGCAGTGGTGACCAAATAAAATACAGTTCAACTATATTTAATTCTATACTGAAATAATTAATAACTTGCATGGAATAACAATATTTTGTGTTGATTTGACATATACTTTTATGTACGAGAATAGTTACATTATGAATTTGAAAACTGGTTTCTTGTTGATTTACAGATGAAACCTCACTTTCACTACAGTATATAAAGCAGATGACTCCAAATTGAAAGCCAGCCCTTGACTGTTTGTGAGACGCTGTGACTTTGGCAGCTGCAGTACGCTGTGTTCTTTTCAGCTGCACTAATTCAGTAAATCGCCTGGCAGCTCCCATTTATGGCCTCAGTACTGCCAGCATCCCACAAGGCTGTGCTCACCTCAGTGACTTGTCGGTGAATTCATTAGTGAATTGAACCAAGCAATGAAAAAAATATTCAAGATGATCCTCACAGAACTGAAAAACATAGTGCTGTTGCTTTTGAGACACACACACACACACAGGTTTGTAATTATATCTTTGTGGGGACTCTCCATTCATTTCTATGGGGAAAACTCTAATCCCAACATGACAACCTTAACCCCTATCCAGCCCTGACCTTAACCATAAGTAATCAAACAAAATACGAGACTTTGGGCATTTTTAGTTTTTTGATTGCATTCACAGATCTTTGTGGGGACCTGAAAAATGGTCCCCACAACGTCAAAAAAACAGGTCTTTATTACATTGTGGGGGATATTTGGTCCCCACAATGTAACATAAACCTAATCCACACACACAAATAATTTATTCTAATTGACACACACACATTTTTTGAAACATATTGAAATATATTGAATATGACAATTGGCTAAAAGGAAAATTTAAATGGCAGACAAGCAGAATTGTTCTCAGTTGGCTGGGAGAAGCACCTGGCATGATGCTTCTTTGATGCCTTTAAACCTTAAAGATGAAGCTCAGACATCAGAGGAACCAACCAGGTGACAGCAGAATCTCTGCTTCCTATTATGAACCCAGTCACATCATGGGTGAATCTCAAAATGCGTACTTGACCATGTGTTTTACATCATCTTCCATTGCCTAAGACCAGTTCCAATACTCAAGAACAAAAGTACAGGGGATGGTGAAAATCCCTGATGTTGTTCTTGCCCCAAATATCAAAGACACATTGGCCTCATCCTTGCCAATTGTGACAAAGCCCATGATTCCTTGCGCCCCAAGTTCTTTCTTAGCAGACAAGGTACCAAGACCGGTCTTTCCAAGACTACAAGTACGGTCTTTGCATTGCTGGCATTGAGAAACACCCCATGTATGTCATTGGTGCACTGGACATGTCTTTCTGGCAGTCCATCTCCTACATCTTCAAATAGAGCAAATTCCTGGGTGTGTGTTTTTCTCCTAGAATGAATTCAAAGCAAAGTGCATTAAAAAGAAGAAGGTGAACATTGTCATATCTGTGGATGGAGTGAAGGTAGTTCTTTGGAAGAAACAGAAGGTAAGGTCTCGCCAGTCGGGTGGTAAGAATCTAATGGTGTAATAGCCCATAATCTTTTATGTAGTCAGTATCACGGGAAGGGGCTCAATGACAGATAATATTTGCAGTTTGTGGATTCATAACAAAGACGTGTTACTTTGTGATGCTCGTGAAAACATTGCGCAGCTTCAGTGGTTCACCAGCTCGAGGTACAGTACAGTACAATATATAGCAACTCTTATTGTTACTGCTTAAATATTATTGTGATTATGCACTGTATTATTTTCTGACTTACCTATAAATTTGACTTGTTCGTAAGTTGGGGACCACTTGTATCAGAGAATGATTTGCCTTCTGTTGCCTGGTTAAAATTTAAAAACATACATTGTCAAAGGCTTCAGATGTTTCTCTTCCTATACCATTAACACCTGCCTATCTTTATAGAGGAAGGAGTGGACTTGGGACGAGGCCAAAATGCTGGTGATGCATGACCCAATATACAGGTAAGTCTATGGAGTTACTGGAAAACAGCCTTGGGTAAGACTGCATGGCATCACATGTTACATGTTGATTGTTACTGGGAATTTGGTGGTCTGCCTTGTGGCCTTATTCTGAACGGGAAGTGTGATTCAGGGCTTCATATAAACCAGGGGTGGGCAATCTTATCCAGGAAGGGTCATTGTATATGTGGGTTTTTTCTGCAACTCCCTAATTAGATTACTCATTAGAGGACTGATTGGCTGAAGAGTCCTCACACCTGGGTTTGAACAGCAGACCTAAAGGTTACCCCAAACACCTGCACACACACCGTCCCTTTGCAGATAAGATTGCCCACCCCTGCAGTCAGCAGCCCCGAGTCCTGGCATTTGTCAGTCCTATGGCTTTCTGTCCATGAAATGAGGAACCATTGGTTGGTCAACCTTGCAGCAAGGGTGGGATTATCCGTTCTGGGATGTTGTCTAAATTTTTGTCAGATATTGACTCTTTGAGCGTGGTCATGTGATTTGGTGAGCTGTAATGGGGCTTATAAGCTTTTATTTCACAGACTGGATTTTCTGTTGGATAGCAGGTTTTATGGGGGGTGCTCTCTACCAGTACTGAACAGGGTAAAGAGGCCCTGACAAAAGGCAACTGAATTTTCTTGTTTCTTGCTTATTACACACTGACCCTCTAAGTTAGTCTGCCATCTAGTGGAAAGTATGAGAGAAAAGCATAAGATCATGGTGC